GGAGCCCCCGGGCCCAGCAGCGCGGGCTGCTGGTGTGAAAATGAAGATTGATCATCGCGAGAGGCGCCGGCTCTGAGGAGGAACTCGGCCTCATTATTATTGTAAGTGTTACTCAGCTGCTCTGTTCAGTTCTCCGTCAGGAAAGATTCTGGCGAGATAAGAAGTTGACATTTTCCGAAGCCGCAGCGAGCACTGTGCGGGCGGCGAGGACAGAGCGGTGCCAGCTTGGCAGGAGCCGGCCCGGCCCACGGCCCACGCCCACGGCCACAGGCGCTCACTGTGACTCAGGGGCCGGCAGGAGCCAGCGGGACCAGAGCCCGGCTCTCAGGCAGGCCCGGAGCCGTCTGTCCTCCCCTGTCCCTCCCGCCTCCCTGAGCACCTACTGTGTGCCATGCCTGGGGTCCAGACTAGCTGAAGGCACCATCCTTTCCCTCGTGAGCCCAGGTCAGTGGAGGCCCAGGTGGGCACGGGGAGCTCTGCCCAGGGGCCTCCCGGGGGCCGGCCATGAGGCTGGGCAGGGGACGCGCTCTTTTCTCACAAACCCCGAGCCACAGCCTGTGTCCCCTGTGGCGGCTGGAGCGGGACGAACACCAGGGGAGGGAGGCGCTCCTGCTGCTAATGGCTCCGAGTTTATCTGCCCTAGAACCTGACAGCCCGGAGGGACCGGACGCCGCGTCTCCGGAGACAGTGAGGGCTGCTGTCACCGCCGCTCGCACCTGCAGAGGCTGCTGTGGGAGGCATCTCCGCGGCCCATCTGCTCCCCCGGCGGCAGCTCACTCCCTCGTGCACCGGCTCATTCATCCCCCCCCACCCCGCCCGCGTCCACGCACCCATTCATGCTGCAGGCAGCCGCCCGCCGGCCCCTTCGTCGGCGCATTGTCCCTTTGCTCACCTGCCTGTCCACTCTATCACCCAATAAGACTGTGCCAGGCGATATGTCTAGGGAGACAATGACGACTCGTGTTTGTTCTCTACCTGCAAGAAGCTTAAAGTCCAGCAGGGAAGTGATGGGGGTGGTGATGATGGTGATGATGGTGACAATGTTGGTGATGATGATGGTGATGGTGATGATGGTGATGATGTTGGTTATGATGATGATGGTGATGACGGTTGTTATGGTGATAATGATGGTGGTTATGATGATGGTGATGGTGATGATGGTGATAATGTTGGTTATGATGATGGTAAGGATGATGATGGT